TCATAATACAGCCATGCTAACTCTAATAGCCAAATAATAACTTCCCCTAGAAAATCTGGGTCAAATTGGTAACCTAGGGAGATAGAATTTGGGATCTCTAGCTGTCTATAGCTTCTCCCTGGGAATTTGTGGATTCTAAGCCAGGATTTGTGTAAGTATGTAGGTTTAAAGTCTTTTCCATAAGCATGTGGTTCCATGGCTTTGTAAGTTTATGTTACCTTCTCTTTCAAACTAACATTTTTGTTTTTAACAATGATGGGGACTTTTTAATAGCTGTCTGAATTCTTATAACAAAGGAATAACACAGGAGGTCAAGGCTTCAGTGAGCTGTAATTGCACCACTGCACTCCAGCCTGGGCAACAGAACAAGATCCTGTCTCAAAGACAAACAAACAAAGGGGTAACAGGAGGATATCATAATTATGGGCTTGGCTTCAGTGCTATAATAGATTCCCTGTACACATTTCCACTGATTTACAGTAGAACACATGGGCTGTGACATTTCATGAGCTAAAGAACCTGCTTTAGCCCTTGATTTTTCAGGGACTCATCCATGGTCACTTCTCAGTTATGGCCAAATAAGTTGGAGCCTAATTTCCTGATTATTTCTCCATGACATCAGATCTACACATATGCACACATTGGTTAGTATTAGGAATGAGAGGCTGTATTAAATTATGCTGTAAATGCATTAGCCCATCACTCCATGGGAAGGTAGAAGAGCGTGTTGTTGCTATCAGGTAGAAATGTAGAAAGTGTGGTGAGGATATTCTTGTAAATTTCAGATTGTGTCAGGTCCTTGGAAGAATGAGGAGTCATCTGCTGTCTGTTCTCTTTTCTTGGGCCTCTGTAGAGGTTTGGCCCTGTGCCTCGGAGGGCTCTGTGCTGCAGCTTGGCCAAACACATCCCTCAGCATGGAGAGAAGTGTGGAAGGCCAAGAGGATGTGCCCACTTGGCCTAATCCTAACCCACCAGCTCCCCTGTTCTTAACCACGTCCCTCGTGTACCTGGGACCCCTGAATTCCCTCCCTAAACACCCTGGGCCCTAATTCCAGGGCCTGTGTGGTCATTTCCATGGACTCTACTACATGGTTCATAGACTGGCCAGGGCTGTTCAGAGGGGGATAGACATGGTTGTGTGGACTTAGACGTCTACCTGTGTGCACACTCAGGGCCCCTCCCAATATGGGTTGGAGCTGGGGAGAGGCTGGAGACAGAGAAATGGAGATGAATGTAGCTACACACAGCAGGAACCATGTGGCGGGACTGCTCCATGCAGGTGTCACGGTGAGGATAGCGCAGCCTGTGTTTGGACAGATATAGAATGCCATGTGCCAGGATGAGCTTCCCCCAGCTCTGGGCACCTCTGTTGCCACTGTCCCCAGAAGTGGACTTCCAGGAGGTTCTGATAAGGGTGTATCTGCTGTGTGCCACCTTGCCTGTGCCTAGCTTCTATCCTAGAAGGCAGGGTTCACAATGTGGGGGAATTCCTCAGGAATAAGAATGAAGTTCCTCACCATTATGGGAAATTCCTCAAGAAAAAGAGGGCGTTTAATAAATGCATTGTGGCTACAGAGCAGGAAAAATACCCCCTTCCCCTGCACTGGGCCGTAGGCCTTGAGGAAGAAACCTGGGTTCCTGTGACAGCCCTCTCTCCCTAGCTGTCACTTTTCCTGTGCAGGCACTGGGTATGAAATTCCTTGCAGAGGGACAGGAATGCACTGTTGGATGAAGTCAATCCTTCCTGGAAGGGGGGTTTTTGTTGGGGGCCAATATGATCACTGTTAATTCTTGTACTTAATTTCTACTTTTATAATTTGTTTCACATTGCAGTTTCTCATTCTGGGTCTAGCAGAAAATTGCTTTATGCCTCAAATATGCATTTTCATTTTATCTTTAATCAACAAGTAACTTTGTGTGTGTGTTGCATGTGCTGCTGTAGTCATGTTGTGATACCTCAGTGTTTCCAAATACATCATGATCACCAAACAGCGCTGGGTGCTGTGTTCCAGAAGATCTTCACAATCACGAGCTTTTCCGTGTGACTGTCACATAAAGCCGTGCCATGCTGCAGGGAATGGACAAGGCCTCCACAAGTGGGGCTGACCAGCCTAGGCCTTGGGTCACCCTGGGATCTGGCTGATTCCTTGGGTCTGGACATCAGCATCTGATGCTGATGCACTCCCTCCTGCCTTGTCTGGAAGCTGCTATGGGGAGGATGTTAGCCAGTCCAGGGGTTTCACACATAACATAGGCATCCTTGCTTGAAGGCTGAACAGGGGGAACCATATACTGTGGCTTCTTAATGTATTGAGTGAGTTAATCCTTTTTTCTTTCTTATTTTATGTGGAAAATTCAATCTGAAAAATAACACAGTGACATATATCTGTGACTTTTTATTAATACTGGCATTTTCTAAAGTTACGTTGTAAATTATTTTTAAAAATTACAATGGACTTTGATGAACTGGTTATGAATAAGGGAGGCTTCTTTACCTAGCATGCCTTCTGACAGTAACATTTCTCAGTCTCTAGTCCTATTTCTGTAGTTTCTTCTCCTCTGGGTCATGCCCAACCCCAGCTCTTTCGACAGCCATCTGGGTGTGAGCCCTTTGTCTAACTCCTTGCAAAGGATTCCACTCTCTTATGGGATCCTGGCCATCTCCAGACCCCAGTGACGGTTCCCTTGCAATCCTATTATCTGACCTACATCCTATACCCTTATTCCGTCCTTCCCCTTCTTTGATTCTAGGCTGGGTTTTCATCCCCATGTGTCTCATGCAAAGGTGGTGGGTAGGTAAGTAGGTGGATTCCTTCTCTCTTTCCCTCTATTCCTCCTTCCTTTCTTTCACAAGTATTTATTGAGCTCCTATGACAGACATGCAAGATGTGTAGGATGGGCCTCCTTGTGGGTATGGGAGAGGGGAGGGTCTACTCTGCACTGCTTTCTTCCCTGGCCCAGGTAGGGAATGCCAACAACTAGGGGAGCTGCCCAATATTGCCAGAGCCAGGGGGCCTAGAGCCAGCAGTTTGAGGCACCTTGGTGCATTGCACCAGGGAGAACCTGTGTCACTCGTCACACCTGGCTTTGGAGGAGCAGATGTCTGCAAGGGCCTTGGGAGAAGCTTCTGATCAGAATCACCTCTGAGATGGTCAGAAATCCCAGAAGCTGCCAGGCTAGGAATGGAAGAATTGACTACCAGATCCGCGAAGTGCCATAGAGGTGCATGGAAGTGGAATGGCACAGTGCTTATAAACGGCAAGGCGGGGAGCCAGGGCTAGACACAGACCCACCTGGACAGTGAAGGCGGAAGAGTAGGGGGCACTGATCCTCATCCCAGGGGTCAGGCAGGAGGGGCGGTGGGATGGCCAGGTGCTGGAGAGATGTCCAGCGGGCTAGAGATGGAGGGGTCCTGGCATAGAGAACCTAGGAGGGGTGGTGGCCTGGGCAGTGCATCTCAGAGGAGCAGCAAGCTTAGAGGGCACATGGTGGTCGCTTCAACAATGGATGAGGGATGAAGACAGTGAGTATATAAATTCTTAAGTGAAGTTTCTGGGGGAAAAGGGAGGGAAAATCAGGCCATTAGTAGAGAGTGGGGAGTCACCTTCTCTGCAAGAAACTTCCTGGGCCTCCCAAATAAATCCATCCCTCCCACCCTCCTCTCCCCTCCCCCTCCCCCATTCCATCCATTTTGGTGCCATTCACTATATAATTGCCAACAGCCGCTGTCATATCTGGGGCACACTCACAGAGGTCAGTCAGGAGAGCACTGTCTTAGGTTGGGGAGTGGGAGGATGTGGGGGTCTCCCCTTTGAGATTGTGCTATATGATTCCTATTGATGGGCCAATGCACCTCTGATACCTTGTGTTATGCTGTGTACTGCCTAAAAGTGAATAATAGCTTGTAATTTAGTTTGTGTAGTCTAAGGAAAATATTTCGTGTTGAATTAGTCAGGCTGTTTTATTGATGGGAATTAAAAAACCTTATGCTTAGGTCTTACAAGCTTTTCAAAGGTCCAAAGAAATGATTCAGATAAGAAAAAAAATTGAACTCCAAATGCTAAAAGAAAACCACAAAAACAGGTGAATAAATGGTGAAAGATCTGTAGGACATTGCAGAAAGGCTACCATAACTCAGCTTTTTGAGGTTGACTTAAATTACGTGATATGGGGTGCAGGGATGTTAATGTGCTTGGTAATAGAAGAATGAGGATACCTCCTCTAAAACAAAGCCTGCTTGTTTTTTCTGGCCTCTGGTACATTTCTCTCTGGCAAAGCTCAAGCTCTGTTTTCATGTGCATTGACCCATGACATCCCTAGACGTGGTTTGATTCGTTTCTGCACCTGGTCTCTAGCAAAGTGCCATGTGCATATGTTTAACCAAAATAGCTTGTGGTTGTCAAGCTCTTTGTATTCTTCCCTCCCTGTGATTTGATTTCCTGAAAGTATTCTGTCCCAAGGATTATGGGACATACACTTGTTAAACATTGGACTCATTTTCATGGCCATTTAAATGTCATGACCTTTCTGACACCTTGATATGGTTTGGCTCTGTGTCCCCACCCAAATCTCGACTCAAATTATAATCCTCATGTGTCCAGGGAGGGACCTGGTGGGAGGTGACTGGATCGTGGGGGAGGTTTACCCCATACTATTCTCATGCTAGTGAGTTCCCATGAGATCTGAAGGTTTAAAAGTGTTTGGCACTATGCCCCTTGCGCTCTCTCTCTCTCTCTCTCTCTCTCTCTCTCTCTCTAGTGCTGCCATGTAAGACATGCCTGCTTCCACTTCCACCATGATTGTAAGTTTCCTAAGGCTTCCCCACCCATGCAAAACTGTGAGTCAATTAAACCCTCTTTCCTTGATAAATTACCCAGTCTCAGGTATTTCTTTATAGCAGCATGAAAGTGAACTAATACACACCTTTTGAGATCCTCACAGCAATTGGTGCCTTTAGACCTCTTCGTTCACGCTTCACTTGTGTGTTCTTCCTTCCCCAGGCAGATGCACCTGCTGAAGATGGTGACTCCCTCCTGAGAAGCTGGACTCCTTAGTAAAAGTCAAGGCCTTCTTTAAGGTAACAAGGCTGGGTCATCCTAGGGTCTGACGGCTGGCCTTTTCTCACAAACAGCTGAACTCCTCCACCCTCAGATCTAGGGGGCCCTGAACTATGTCCCATTGTATGCAAAAATATTTTATTTCTGTTGACGCATTACACTTTGGGGCAGCTTGATGGTTTTATTAAATTTTGGAAGGTGGCTTCAGCCCCAGTAAGAGCCAACGCCTGTCCTCTTTCCCAGGTCACGTTGGCTGTGCTTCGGTGGAGACCTGCAAAATGGTGGGTCCCAGTGCTGCATCCAAGCTCTCCCCAATTTCAGCCCCTTCCAGGCTTTGCTGTTCATTTTCACTCCACTGTCACCACGTGCTCAAATTCTTGCTGCCTACCTCGTCCCAAGAGACCTGGGTCTATGATGCTGTGGGTGACACCCTCTGAGCATCTTTCCCGAACTGTCTGTGGGTACCTGAACCTGCCCCCCAACCTGGCCCTTGCTCTCCCTGGCCCCAGCTCGGTGAGTTTGGCCCAGTTGGTCCCTGCTTCTCCCCTCTGGCCCTGAGTGTTCTCAGATATGCCCCCTCCTGCCTGTCTGTCACTACAGCTGGCCCACCCTTCATCCTCTCTCCCATGGACCTTTGTGGTGGCCTGCTCTCCCCAGCTCCCCTGTCTCCAGTTTATATTCCACACAGGTGCCAAAATGTCTACAAAAAATGGAGATCTAACATACACCAGTCCGTGGCTTAAAATCCATACCTACTTCTCTGCCACATGCAAATGACAGCCTGAGTTCCTCAGCAAACCTCCGCATGTTGTGGGAACCTGTGGCGTCTCAGCCTCCCCCTCAGAACCCACCTCTGGTTTATGCTCCAGAACATGATATAGTTGGATCCTCCCCTCTTCCTCCTCCAGGCTGAGTTAGCCCCTGTCTCCCCTCCTGCCCTGGTCATGGCTCTTCCAATAGACACCCCCACATTATAGTCTAACTCTGTCTCCACATTCCCTGAGACTGCTGAGCTCCTGGACCCAGGCCCTGGGACCCTTGCTCCTATTTTTGTTCCCAAAGCCAAGTAGATATTTGATATATGATTGTTGAATGCAGCAATGAGTGAATAAAGAAATGAATGGTTAACTGAAAACATTTTATGAAAACTGTTATTTGTCATCAGAGCATGGGGCGATTTGCAATAGCTAGCATTTGGGAGTGACCATTTGACAGGCACCTTTCTAAGCCCTTTGCATGTGGTCACTCATTTCACCCACATAGCACCATCAGTGACAAATGCTGCCATTACACTGCTTGTCAAAAGGGGGAACTGAGGCATGGAGGCTGAGCTTTTACTCAACATGTTATCTATGTTGAGGGACTTCTGACTTGGATAGCCATTCAACTGTGAGCACTATAGAGGCCGGTCAGGTCTGGCCCTGCCTTGGAATTTCTGGGTTTTTCAAGGGCATAATGGGGTCTTGTGTTGACTTTTGTTGGGAGTGTGTGGCTTAATCTAGGTGCAACCCTCACCTCCTTCCCTTCTGATCTCCTCACTCCTTTTGGTCACGTGATCCTTAACACCCATCCCAAGCTCAGTGTCAACTCTTTGCCCCAGGGTCCTGGGGATCTATGACATGGATTCCAAAAGCCCACTGATGAGGGGACATGGCCACTCCCACCCCTCTGACTGTGTCCCAGAGCAGCTCTGGGGCAGAAGTAAACTTGGACTCAGGGGACATGGCTCTTCACCTTTCTATAGTTTATTAGAGGAGGATGGGGTCCAACATCAGCTGGTTCATTGCCCATCATGCAGATGAGCACACTGGGGCCCAGGGAGAGCTGTGTCCAATATCACCCTGCCTTGTGGTACAGGCCAGTGGCCTTGGACCTGTGATTAAACATTGTCCACAATTAATTTGGATTTATATCTCATGATACACTCCATAAAGTTCAGTCAGACATCTTCTTTTTCGTCTCCCCTGACTATCAAACCATCAAACAAGCCAGATCTTGTAACTAAATGAACCAACAGCTGGCAGTGTTCAGTTGACTTTGCAATGCCCTTATTTTGTTGTTGATAAACTAATGCATGTAGCAGATTGGCCTGGAACTGGTGACTGGGAAACATTTTAACCCTTTCTTTCCTTCTTCTCTATCATAAAGACTTAAAACACACTTCATGCAATCACAGAAAGAGTTCATAGACCAGGATATAGGGCTTCAAAGGCTTCAATCTTATTTAATCATCTGAATATAGTTTAAAGGTAAAGATGGTAATAATACTAGTATTCTAGACTGTTTTGGGAAGACAATTAATGTGAATAAAGGGTCAGAGTTAAAGGATATTGAAGGAATGCAGTTTTACTGCTCTGAGGTAGGTTTCAAGGCTTGAGCCAGACTCAGGGATCATCGTCCTGATACTGGGGGTAAAGTGAAGAGAATATGAATGGGTATGTCTCACATGCTTAGAAAATCTTTCTTCCCTGTGTTTGTTTAAAAAGCACGTTGCAACTTAAAAAAAAATACCTATATACTTTTTTTTTTTTTTTTTCCTGAGATGGAGTCTCATTCTGTTACCCAGGCTGGAATGCAGTGTCACTTTGGATTGATCTTGGCTCATTGCACCTCTGCCTCCTGGGCTCAAGTGATTCTCCTATCTCACCCTCCCAAGTGGCTGGGATTATAGGCACACACCACCATGCCCAGCCAGTTTTTGTATTTTTGGTAGAGACAGGGTTTCACCATGTTGGCCAGGCTTGTCTTGAACTCCTGGCCTCAAGTGATCTGCCCACTTTGGCCTCCCAAAGTACTGGGATTACAGGGGTAAGCCACTGCACCCGGCCATAATACACCTTCATAAATAGAACATTTTCCAGCTAATATTCAAATGACTGCATGTTGTTAGAATCTGAATGAATATTGTGTTAAAATGTTTTATGTTTTCCTATTTATTAACTTATAGCTACAGATAAGAATATAGGCAAATTTAATCTCATGTAAAAATTAAAAGGCAGATGTTTTCAAAGCACAGAATTACATGGTCTACTCTAGACATTGCCCCTAGGTTGAGCAGAAAGGATAAGAGTTTTTTCTCTTTTTTCCTTTCCTTTCTCTTTTTTTCAGACAAATTTCATTGTAGATATTTTAGAACGTATAGAAAGCCCCAACAAGGGGAAACCCACCCAACCCAATTTGAATATGTTGTTATCATTTCTTTTAGTCTTTTCTGGTGCATTTCTATGTAGCTATATCCTATCATACAAGCAATTTATTATCTTGCAATATAAAATGAAGTCATGACCTTTGAGCTGGCCTAGAAAGTGGGTCCTGGCAGCAGGGCACATTCCATGTGGGGAAGTAGGTTCATTATTTTCATTCATCCCAGGAGACATTATTAAGGGCTTGTGTTGCTAGCACAGTGCTGGGTGCTGTGGGTGCAGAGGTGAGCAGGCCTTGATTCCTGTTGTCATGAGGTTTTCTGGCCAGGACAACTGCAGCACAATGTGCTCAGGGCTGTGGCAGGTGAACACACAGGTTGTTGAGGGCTCAGAGGAGGAAGAAGCCAGGCAAGGGGTCTGGGGGCTTCCTTGGAGCCAAGATGCAGACAGATGTGGGAGGTAGTCAGGTGAAATGTGGAGGGAATAGAGAAAGCAGTGTCTCTGAGGCTGGAGCACCTGCCCAGGTGAGGCCTGAGTGTGGAGTGTGCTGGGGGACTTGGGGTGTGGAGAGGCAAGTCAGAGCCTCTCCATGAGGAAGCCGTAGGCTTTGCTGGGGAGTTTGGAGTACTTGTAGGTGCACTGGGGAGCCAGTGAAGGTGTTTTGAGCAGATCATATGGTGATAGGTAGTTTGTAGGCTTTGGATTGACTGAAGGCATAAATCTGCAGGCAGAGAGCCCAGTAGGGAGCCTGTTGCCATAATGAATCCAGGCAAGAGCTGGAGATTGCGTTAGCTAAAGCGGCATCACCAGTGGCCATGAGTGAACTGGGGTGGCGGGGTGGGCATGATGATCTAAGGAGACAGACTGCTAGGGAGACAGCACAGCTATGCAGGGCAGTGGTCGCAACATCATTTATCCCTGGTCTCTTGTTGAGCTATCCCGGTAGGTTCAGAGCAGTGCTGTGCCCGTCACTGCAGTGGGGAGCATGGGGTGAGGTAAATTTGGTGGAGTGAGAATGGGTTTGGTCTTGGGGGCCTATTGAATTTGAAGTACACAGGGGCCTTTGAGTAAATTTGTGCAAAATTCACCTGGGGACACAACACTGGAGTTTGTGTATCATCACAAGGTCTGTGTTCAGGAGCAGGACAGGAACGCTCAGGAAGAAAAAGGCTATACTGAATATTAATGTGGAAAGGTAGACAAAATAGGATTATTTTTTCTTTTGTATTCACTTGATACTATTTTGTAGGTAAAGCCATTGGCATGCTCTCCCTGTAGACTTGCTGTATTGGGCAAGTACCTAACCTTATTCTGCCCCCTGCGATGTATGTGGACAAGCCTTATGTAATTAAATCAATCAGTTACCAGAACCTCAGTTTAACACGTAGTCCTGTTGCTAACCCATTATCTGTTGTAGCTGATGCTGTGTTGGTGGGGACTTTTAAACTACCAGGGAACTGTGGAGATTTTCCTCTTTTCCTTTCTAGTCCCTTTTTTTTCATACAAAGTTAATTGTAGATATTTTAGAAAGTACAGAAATCCCAGACAAGGGGAAACTCACCCAACCCAATTTTAATATGTTATCAATTCTTTTAGGTTTTTTTTTTTTTTTTTTTTTTTTTTTTTTTTTTTTTTTTTTTTTTTTTTTTTATAGCTATATTGTATTGTGCAAGCAATTTAGCATCTTGAAATATAAAATGGAGGCTGGCCTAGAAGTGTGGGTTGATTTTGCAAGTGAGTCCTGGCAGCAGGGTACATTCCAAGTGGGGAACAAATCCACACAAGTGGAGGTGAGCTGGCTTAGGGGTGAGTGCATAGCTGACTTCGGATGTAGACTAGATTTGGGGAAATTTAAACAGGATGCAAGACTGGAAATGTATAATGGGACAGCAGATGAAAATGTTTAAAATCTTAAGTCATTGAGCTTGTTCTCAATTTTTTGAAAACTCTTTATCCCTTTTTGCCCCCATCCCATTCTCTAACCAGAAGTTAAACATGGTAACATTCATAATGTAGAAAAACTAATCAGTGTGACTTGGGGGTGAGGGTTGGAACAGGGCGGGTGTTGACATACTTAGTTTTAGAGATTTGTTGGAAAAGTAACATTTTTGCTTTTGTCTTTCTTTCATTCCTCCATTTCTCCAGGAGAATATGAAAGTGTTACTCAGACTTACTTGTTTCATAGCTCTCCTGATTTCTTCTCTGGAGGCTGGTAAGTTAACTATTTCTTTGTTTCTTGTCTGCTAAGAAAATCTGTTATTTAGAATACATGAAGTACCTTCCCTAAGAGAGTCATTTCTCATACTCGTTTCTGTTGAATCCCTGGGCAGACAGCCTCCTGATCATAGACCTGTACTGCTGGAAGTTCCTCTCAGCATTTTCCTCTTGTTCTCTCACATATAGACTGGGAAACTGAGGCCCAGGGCCCCAGGACATGTAGATAGCTTTGGAGCAAAAGCTAAAATCTAGGTCTCCAATCTAAGTCCAACCCTCTTTCCACTTGGCTGTTGTTTGAAAGTGTGATACAGAGGAAATTCTGACTTTCATTTGGACGAGATATTATGCTTACTCTTTATGAATCCACAGTTGGAAGTCATCAAGCTACAGTTCTTTTTCTTTGCATTTCTTCATTTTCTCTTATCACTTCTCTGTGTGCCAGATGTTAGCTGCTGGGGATACAGCAGGGAATAGTCCAGATAGAAATACCTGCCTGCATGGGGTTTATATTCTTGTAGAAGAGAGAGATAACACTTAAGTAGATATATATTGTGTCATATGATGACAAATATAGGGAGGAAAACAGAGTATAAGATTTTGGAGCCGGGCGCGGTGGCTCAAGCCTGTAATCCCAGCACTGTGGGAGGCCAAGACGGGTGGATCACGAGGTCAAGAGATCGAGACCATCCTGGTCAACATGGTGAAACCCCGTCTCTACTAAAAATACAAAAAAAAAAAAAAAAGATTTTGGAATTTGAGTGGGCAGAAGATTAATTTTTTGTGTGTGGCCAGAAAAAACCTCACCGAGCAGTTGACTTTTGAATGACCTTAAGGAAGGGGAAAAGAGAGCTGTTTGGATATCAGATTAGGGTGTGGAAATATTCCAGGCAGCATGTGCAAAGGTCCATAGGCCAAGAGTATTTGGCATGCTTTCGGAATGAAAATATCAGTGTGGCTGGAGCACAGTGAGAGATGGGGGAAGTCATAAGGAACCAGGCTATCTGGGTAATAGGTGGATGGCAGAGGGTTGATTATGTAGAATGTTACACCCGTTCTAAGGGTCTTGGCTTGTAGTCTGGCTGAGATGGGAAGACTGCAGAGTTCTTTGTTCAAAACCAGAGAGGTGATCTGACTGTCACTTTGATTCCTGTTTTGAGAATAGATCCGAGGGAGCCAAAGAGAGAAATAGAGAAGCCAGTTAAGAGGTAAGCCATGATGATGGCTTTTTCTAAACAAGAAATGTTGATGGCTTGTCAAAGGGTGGCAAGGAGAAATGGGAAGTAGTCAAATTTTGAAATGTTTTGGGAACAGAACCAAGAGGGATTTGGAGTTGGGCCAGATGTGAGGTGTGAAGAAAAGAGAAGAATCAAGAATGATCTCAGGGAATTTTGGCCTGAGCAAATGCAAGGTGAAATTTCCATTGATGGGACAGGGAAGATCAAGTTTCCATACTGGACATGTTAAGTTTAGCTGTCCATTAGATGTTTAAATGGTGACTTTGACTAGGCAATCTTCAGCCTGAGGGAGAGGTCTGAGTTGAATATATAAAATTGGAGACCTCAGCAAGTGGCTGGTATGAGAACCATGAGACTGAATGGGATCATGGAGTGTAGTTAGGAAAGATAAGAACTTTAAGGACTGAGCCAGAGATTGCCTTAAATTCCTTGGTCCAATCAGTAAGTTTTCTCCCCTTTGCTGAGGGGCTCCATGTGTGTTGGAGCATACCCTCAACATTAAGGCTGTTTACAGCTCTGCCTTAGCTTTCACTTCCTGTTTGTGTATGGCCTCAGAGTCATCCAGAAATGAGAGCCTCGGGCCTTGTCTGCAGTTTCCTGGGCATGCACACAGCCCTGCATACATGGGCATCTTGGGCATCTTTCTAGGTTCCCCAGGAATGTGTCAGAGCTTTTCAAAGCCCTCTGGTGGTTATGGCTCTGGTATTGCAGCCTTAGGCAGTTGCAAAAAAACAACACTGAGTTTTTCCAGCAAACATCTTGGGGATAGTGCTTTTCCTGTGGAGCTCTTGGTGAGGTCAATAACAACACCACCCTATGAACGTTCCTTTGAAGGCCTGCCATTCAAGTCAAAGAGTGGCAATGCTTTGGGAACCGGACTTCTTGAGGAGCTCCAAAACTTCTCTGTTCTTGCACACCTGCTGGTTTTCAAAGCCTTTGTGTCTGCAAAACTCCTGATACTCATGGCTGTTGTAGAGCCAGGAAGAGTAGGATGGGAGTCATTTAAGTTATAAAGCTACAAACTCTGCTGATCTACTCTGATTTGGCGTGTTTCTGTTTATTTCCTTATTTTCTAATAAATGCTTTTCTGGTTATTACAAGCCTGTGATTTTTTGAAAATTTTTTGCCAGTCTTTTTGTTGCCATTATTGAGGAATGATTTATGAGACCCTCATTTCACCATATTGGAAATCTTGCAAATTCAATTTCTTTGAATAAAATATTGTATTAATAGATAATAGGGCAATTTAGGCTATCTATTTCTTCTCAGGGGAGCTATAGTAGTCTGGAGAATTTGCTCATTTCATTTATGTTATTGGCATAACATTGTTTATAATATTCCCTCACTACCCTTTGCAAATTATTTTAATAAAAGATGTCATCTCTTTTTTCTTTTCTTGATTAGTCTAGCTAAATATTTATTAATTTTATTGATTTTATGAAAGAACCAGCTTTTGGTATCTCTGTTTTTTCTTCATTGTTCTTGTTTCCTATTTCGTTGATTTCCTCTCTGATCTACTATTTTCTTACTTCTTCTGCTATATTAATCATGTTTTTTATTTTCTATATCTTACCATATTTTGACATTCTGATAGGTCTTTCATACCTAAGGAGGGGCTGACCCTCCCAAGGGCTAAGCAGTTCTTAAGTGTGTTGTGAACAGCTTACATGGAGTGTCCTGCCCTTCATGCGAGACTGTCTGACCCAAGACTGTGCCCCACTCATCTCCTTATCCAACTCTCAGACCTCAAACCAATATTACCCCAGCTTCAGTCAACCCAGGGCCAGGTACCAGAGAACTAGGGACAGGCTCTATGCTCACAGCCTGCAAAAATGGTTCAAATGGGCCAGTCTGAAGCTGTTTATGCTGCCCTGCCTTGCCTTTCCCATGGGAACCCCAGTAAAGACTCTGGCCCAGGCTTTCTTTTTGTTTCTGCCTCTGCCTTCGAACCCAGTCTGGTGAAGTCTGGTGATTTTCCCTGTGGTTTTGCGTGGTATGGCATACCCCTTCTTTTCAACCATTAAGTAATTCAAATCTTTCAGGGGCATTAGTCTCTGTTTTGTCACTCAGTCCCCTTTGTAAATGAAGACCCAGGTATAGAATCTCTGCTTGCTGCTTACTTTGGATGTACTTTGTTCTTATTCTAGGTTCTTAAGGTAGAAGCTCAAGTCATCAATTTGAGATTTTTTAAAAAAATATGCATTTAGTGCTAGCAATTTCCCTCTAAGTACTGCTTTCATTGAATGCCACAAGTTTTGATCTGTTATGTTCTCCTTATCATTCAGATAAAAATACTTTATAATCTTTTTTATTTCTTTTACTCATGTTATTTAGAAGTATGTTAGTTTTCAAATATATAGGGATTCCTTAGATATCTTTCTGTTACTGATTTCTAATTTAATTCCATTGTCACCAGAGAATAAGTTTTGTCTAATTTTAAATTTACTGAGTCTTGGGTTATGCAGAAGAATATGGAAAATTTGCTGAGTTTTGTGTGTGCACTTAAAAAAGAATGTAATGTTCTACTGTTATTGGTTGGAATTTTCTGCAAATATCAATTATGCCACATTGATTGATAGTGTTGTTCAAATCTTCTATATTGTGACTGATTATCCGTTTAATTGTACTGCTTGTTCTGTCAGTCCTTGTGAGTGGGGTTTCTCTAGTTTCTTGCAGAACTAGTTTCTCTAGTTCTTGCAGTTCTATCAGTTTTTGCTTCATGTATTTTGAAGCACTGTTGGCAGGTGCATAAACATTTAGTATTATTATGTTCCTGTTGATGAATGAATTCTTTATTTTTTACTTTTTGAGACGAAGTCTCGCTCTGTCAACCAGGCTGGAGTGCAGTGGCGTGATCTTGGCTCACTGCAGTCTCCGCCCCCTAGGTTCAAGCAATTCTCGTGCCTCAGCTTCCCAAGTAACTAGGATTACAGGTACCCACCACCATGCCTGGCTAATTTTTTTTTGTATTTTAGTAGAGACGGGGTTTTATCATGTTAGGCTGGTCTCAAACTCCTGACCTCAGGTGATCCACCCACTTTGACCTACCAAAATGCTGGGATTATAGATGTGAGCCACCACGCCTGGCCAACTTCTTTATTTTTATGAAATGGCCCTTTTCTCTCGTAATATTTTTACTGTAAAATCTACTTTGATAATATGATAGGCACTCAAGCTTTCACTAATTACTTTTTATTAAGGCGTAGTTGACAAAATCATATATATTTACAATGTACAATGTGATGTTTTGGTATATGTATATATTGTGAAATAGTTACCCCTAGCTATTTAATCTAACTTTCTTTTCATGAGTGTTAACATGGCAAATCTCTTTTCTTTTCTTATTAATCTATTTTTATCTTTATTTATAAAATCTGTGTATGTAGATGTACGTGTTTATGTGAGGTACCACATAGTTAGGTCTTTCTTTAGCCAATCTGATCACTTCTGCCTTTCAATGAGCGTGTTAAGACTATTTGAAATTTTAGTGTGATTATTCATATATTAGGGTTTAATTCTTGGATCTTGCTATTTGGTTTTCTATTTGTCCCATCAATTCTGTTATTTTTTTCTCTTTTTTGCTGCCTTTTGGATTAATTGGCATTTTTAGGATTCATTTTACTTCATTTGTTGGCTTATTAGTCATAAGTTTGTTATGTATGTGTTTTTTAACGACTGATCTGGGGCTTAAATAGCTACCTCTAAGTTATTTCTGTCTGCCTTCAAGTGACCTTATATGGTTTCACATATAGTATACAAAGTTAAAATAGTATATACCCATTTCTCCTTTCTTGAACTTTGCCCTATTATTTCCATATATGTTACTTCTTTACTTGTTATAAACCTTATAGCATTTTATTTTTTTATGTAAACACTGTTATCTTTAAAGAGATTTAAATAATCAGAAAGATGATCTTATAATTGCCCATGTAGTTAACATTTTTGTTGCAATTCATTCTTTCGTGTAGATTCATTTTATTCTTAGAATATTGTCCTTTCTGAAGGACTTAAGTATTTCTTGTAATGCAGGTCTACTGTTGATGACATTTTACAGCTTTTGCAAATCTGAAGAAGTCAGTATTTTTTTCTAACTTTTAAATACATTTTCACTGGATATGGAATTCCAGGTAGACTTTTTCTTTCAGTACTTTAACAATATTGTTTTACTATCTTCATTCTTATACTGTTTTTGGAAAGAAGGCTGCATCATTTTTGTCTTTGTCCTCTGCAATAATTGTGTCATTTCTCCCTGGCTACATAGAAGATTTTATCTTTGTTACTGGTTTTAAACAATTTGATTATTATGTGTTTGGAGTAGTTTTCTTTATGTTTCTTTTGCTTGGGGTTCATTGTGATTTGGGGGACTATGTATACATCATTTTTGTCACATCTTGAAAAACTTCAAATATGTTTACTGTTTTCCACGTTTTTCTTCTTCAGTGATTCATATTACATGTATTGAAGTCCTAAGCTAAATAATTCCCTGTCGATTTTATTCTGTTATTTTCTTCTCTGTGCTTAATTTTGGATCATTTCTAGTGCTGTGTCTTCAAGTTTACTCATCTTTTTTTTTTCCTGCAGTATCAAATCTGCCATTGATCCCATCCATTGGTTTTTGTAACTCAACATTGTTGTTTTCATCTCTAAAAGTTTCTTTTTAAATCTCTTTCATGTCTTCACTAATCATGTTTGATCTTTCCTCTAGCATCTTTAATAAATGGAATAAAATAGTAATGGACTATTTAAATTTTTAAATTTATAAAGCCTATTGTCTGTGTCATTTCTGGGTCAGTTCTGATTGATTGATTTTTTTCCCTCCTTATCATTGGTTCTATGTTACTGCTTCTTTGCATGCCTAATGATTTTTTTGGATGTTAGACATTGTGGATTTTATTATGTTGGGTGCTGGATATTTTCATATTCCCCAAAATGTTCTTGAGTGTTGCTCTGCCACATGACTGTTACTTGGAAATGGTTTAATCCTTTCGGGTCTTGCTTTTAAGCTTTATTAGGATCAGGAAAAAGTTTATTCTAGGCCTAATTTCCCCTAATTACTGAGTCAGAACCCTTCTGGGTACTCTGAGGCCTTATCATTAATGAGACTTTCCACTCTGGCTGTTGAGAACAGCATTTCCAGCACTGGGTGTTCTCCAGGTGTTACTCCCTCCAGTCATTTTGGCAATTGTCTCTCTAGCCTTGAGTCATTTTCTTACATTCTTACACTGACTGATACTCAGCTGAAAAATTGGGGGAGACTCTCAGGTATCCTCAGACTCTTTCTCCCTGTCCTCATGCAGCTCTAAGTACTTGGGTACTCTGTCCTGCAAACTTGGTCTACTCAGGTTCTCAGCTTCATCTCCTCAGCTCACTGGGCCTTGCCTATGTTTCTTCTCAGCAGTGTCATGGCCTGGCTATAATTTTGGACAATGGGAGGGCTCACCTCCTTTTTCCCTCATCTTTCTGGGGTTTCTGTCCTTTGTTTTCTGATGTTCAGTGTCTTGAATAGTGTTGTTTCATATACATTGTCCATTTTTTAGTTGTTCATGTGGGAAAGTAAATCCAGTTTCTGTTGCTCCATCTTGTACTGAAATACATCTCTCTCCTTCTACATTCTCCCCACTTTTTAGATGAATACAAAGGGGGTGAAGGAGGTTACATAACTTGCCAAAGGCACAGCACACAGGCAGTAAGTGACACAGCTGGACTTGAACATACTTCTCAGACTCCCAAGATAATGCTCTTATCACAAGGCTGTAAAGCTTTTATATGTAATGTGAATTGATGTGTTTAATAATCGATATATTTCTTTGTAGATATTAAATTAAGAGATGCTGGCAAATTTTATACATAAATTGCTTACCTCCTTCTCCCTTTTAAAGATAAATGCAAGGAACGTGAAGGAAAAATAGTTTTAGTTTCATCTGCAAATGAAATTGATGTTCGTGCCTGTCCTCTTAACCCAAATGAAAACAAAGGTACCATAACTTGGTATAAAAATGACAGCAAGACACCTATATCTACAGAACAAGCCTCCAGGATTCATCAACACAAAGAGAAACTTTGGTTTGTTCCTGCTAAGGTAGAGGATTCAGGACATTACTATTGTGTGGTAAGGTAAGAAAGGAATTAGTATGTTACAAACATGTATTCTGGGTTCCTGTAGTCATTAAGGACAGAAATACTTTTAATAATGCTCAATTTACCTATTTTATTTTAGAAATTCATCTCACTGCCTCAAAATTCAAATAACTGCAAAATTTGTGGAGAATGAGCCTAACTTGTGTTATAATGCACAAGCCATATTTAAGCAGAAACTACCCATTGGAGGAGATGGAGCACTTGTCTGCCCTTATCTAGAGTTTTTTAAAGATGAAAATAATGAGTTCCCTAAAATGCAATGGTATAAGGTAATTTTATTTTAAATATGATATTTTACTTTTCTGGAAAATAATATAGTTCCCTGGACAATAGGATGAATCTGCAAATTATCTTTTTAATTTGCATATTGTTTTCTCTTTAATGGTGAAACTTAATAGAGAATCTAAAAAGAATTGTAAGACTGCATTCACTTAATTTGAAGCTTAAGTAGAAACTTACTTGCTATGGTTTTTATTTAATTTAATAAGATGTATTTTAGAAAAGTAACAGAAATAGATGTTTAAAGAGAAGGCTGACTATAAACTTAAGGTATTTAAGATATAACTATTTATTACAAAATATATTTTGTGTATCTTACTAAAGATATGGTCTTCAAATAACCTGCTAGTTTCCATAACTGTCTTAAAAGTGGGTTGACTAGCTTTCTGTGGAACAGGCCATGTTTTGGTTCCTTAAATCTACCTAGTCTGGTGGAACTTAAATAGGGAATCATCTTGTAGTGCTTAAGACATACTAAATAAATCATATCAGTGAGGAAATGAAGTGCAGTATAGTTAGGAAACTATATAGTGTTAACGTTTTCTTTCAAACATGTTTTTCTTGCAAAATAAATTGGTCTTCACTTACGTTCATAGCACAAGGCTCACAGACTTAAAAACTTAATGTCATAGGAATATACTTAACTGTTTCCAAAAAACCAATATTAAAACTTACTGTATGTAAGGAACTTTTCCAGTCACTTTCTAAATATATAGCATTTGCTAATGTGAAAAAAATGGAGTTCCTTTGGCTGGTAGATCGGGAAAAGTTACTAATTGGTTTTCAATGCTTCTCTCTTCCTTTATCTAGGATTGCAAACCTCTACTTCTTGACACTATACACTTTAGTGGAGTCAAAGATAGGCTCATCGTGATGAATGTGACTGAAAAGCATAGAGGGAACTATACCTGTCATGCATCCTACACATACTTGGGCAAGCAATATCCTATTACCCGGGTAATAGAATTTATTACTCTAGGTGAGTCATAGTTCCAGCCCTAGAAGGTTTAGATCTGGGAAGGCCCAGAGACTGTGATTCTAATATTACTTTCATTGTCCATAAAGAAACTAAATCCAAGACGAGCTCAATGATACCACAAAAGTCATATGGCTTTAGTTTTGTTTTTGTGTTACTAAATACTATGTAATGTTTTCCATTCCTGCTTCAGACGTAGTGCTAACTAAATAGAGACATTATGAGCTGTGTTTTCCAACTGATCTAAGAAGGTTGTTCTTTGGCATGGTTAAAAATGGTTCTTACGGAAAGCTCTGGGGCTCCCTGTGGCTGGTATATGGGAATGTTCTGTACTTACGGAGTCTCAGTGAGTCTCAGTGTCTAGCAGCAAGCATCAGTGTGGACACTAATGAGCTTTGGAATAAGTCACATTTCCAGAATCTACCTCCTGTTCTTTCTGCGTTAGCTTTTAACCTCTCTAAGCCTGTTTCCTCCTCTGTAACAAGATGATGTAATCTCCTGAGGTTATTGGGAAGATTAGAGATATGGGATATACTAAACTTGTATGCTTGATGCAAAGAACTGCTTGGTGCTAAACAGCTATGCAATTAATAGATGTACAATGATTTTTCTTGTTAATTTTCTTTTGTCTTTCAATTCTGCCTTAACCATGTTTCATATTGAAAACCATATCACAACAAAAGGAAACAAAATGCACAAATTACCTGGGGATAGAATGCTCAGATTTTTTGTAAATATTGAGATATTTGTAAACTTTGTGTAACATAAGAAGAGCTATTTCAACTAGCACTTGTTTTTTTGCAGGTTAAAGGGGTGTCTAATAGTAGTTATGCTGGGACAACAGATATAAATTGGGAATATCTCAAACAAACTCATAATATGATCACCCTATAAATGGCTTCACTTTTCCTGTTATATAATATTTTATTTTCCAAAGACTAATTTTATTAAATAAAAATAAATTCCTTGCCATTGTCCCACAAGCATCAGTGAATCCTAATTTTCAGTGGTCTTTGTATCAAACCATGTTCTTGACTTTTTAGCAGCCTGTGTCCTGTCATTGTGGAGCTCTGCTCTGTCTTTTCTGAAACATAGCAAGCAAACCAGCAAGTAGAGCTCGAGAGAGAACTGGGCACTGGGGAATATTTAAGCTAAGTTAAGTGTATTTTAGATACTCTCTGTTCCTTTTTCTGATCCCATTTGTAGAAACAATATACTCTACTTGGGGCGAATTAATATTTTGTTTTCTTCCCAAGACCTGCCCCAATGATGCCTAGCACTTTTTGTTTACACAAGGATTCAAAAATACTTATTGAGCATTTACTATGTTTCAGGAACTGTTATAGGTATACATTAGGGAACGAAAGAGATATTATCCTACCTTCATGGCGTTCACTTTTTTTTCGACTGGTGGAATACTGCGTGATCAAATTTATAGTTTCTCATAGTTTTTTCTTGGCCACAGATCAACCCCTGAAGCCAATCTTTTCATAAATAAGTCAGATTAATTTCTGGGGCTCCTTGATACTTTTTGGGCCTATTTTAATAAATTACAGCATTATTCCATAACCCTGTAGTTGTCTCTATTGGGTCATTACCACAGTTATTAAATGCAAACGAGTCTAGTACTGACTAGCCCTGCTGGCCAGTAACACCCAGTTCAAGGAAGTGACTATTCTCGCCTTTCCTGACGTGCTTTCACTTAAGAGAGGCACTTGTCTGGGGACTGAGGGTCCTGATGATGTGTGTGTTTTTCAGTAGCACCACACTCTATGGGTTCAGAAGGTCTAGCTCTGCCCCAGGGTTCACAGTGTGCTGTGGCCTCTGCCTCAGCTTTCTTCCTTCATTTCCTCCCTCCTGTCTCCTGGCATATGTGCTTTGAATACTTGATGGAGTATCTGGCCAGAAGTCATTTAATATATTTTGCTAAGTGTTGTTATCACTTGAGATTCTGATCTATAAGAGACTGACAAACCCTAATGGCGTTTCTCTTTCAGAGGAAAACAAACCCACGAGGCCTGTGATTGTGAGCCCAGCCAATGAGACAATGGCAGTAGACTTGGGTAAGTGGGCTCCAGTTAGGATATACTGGAATCAGTTTTTTTTTTAACATAAGAGTAAGAAAAATTGTATCTTTACTGTATATAATCTAAGCCATTTATTGAATATATGTATAATTTGAGGGAAAGTGACACAAATTATATCTTAATTTTTTGCATTTTTTGCCTCTATGACAAACATCTTGCCATGTCTGACATCTCTACTGCTACTTTTCTATGGACACTTTACCATGCAAACACCAGCCAGACACCAAGGTCAAAAGGCCTAGGAACCAGAAATGCCATTGACTTGTAAAGCATTGACTTTCTCTTGACCAGAGCCAAGCTTTGAGTCAGAAGGGTAAGGCTACAGGCCCCAAAGATGGTAGTCATTCTAGAAAAGTACTTTTCAAAGTTACTGGACATTTTTTATTCAAGAATAAAGAAAGAACCCCACGAACATCTAGTTCTGCACTGTTCAGTGCAGTAGCTACTAGCCACATGGAGCTATGGACATGTGAAATTAAATTAAGTCAATTAATTCATTTTGTTAAATTAAAAATTAGTTTATCTGTCACATTAGCCATATTTCAAGGGCTTTATAGCCACATGTGACAAGTGACTACTGTATAGACAAGCACGAATATAGAACATTTCCATCATCACTGAAAGTTCTATTGGAAACCACTGATCCAGAGAGAAAAAAGTGATTCTTTGTGTTAGGCTGGCCTTGGAATTGTCCTCTGTAACAGTAACTACACGACAGCAGTCAAGAACCATGCAGAGGTTAGAAGGTACATGTTTGTGATCTGTGAATTCTGTACTTGGCCAATTCTGTACTTGTTTTTATGTGGGAGGTGGTAGAAAAACATTCTCAGAAGGAAACAAAAATGTCAAAACTCAAAATTAAATATGTGCTGATAGACTCTAGAACAGTGTTTCTCAACCATTTTTTTTTGTTTTAAATTATTCTCCTTTAGAGCCTAAAAAGTCTTCCTCCACCTAATTATCTTTCCTGTCTTCAAATTTCAGTACCACAGCTATCTTTTATATCTGCTGATATGCTGTGGCTCCTTGGAGTGCCACAAACTGTGTAATATCTAAGGTTTTCTTGCCCCTTCCCCAAGAACCAGTTTTTGCCCTGCTGGCCACAGCACTGTTGAAAATGCCTTCTCCAGAAGTTTGTAATTCAGAGCTCTGTCACCTAGGCTGCATTGATCTCCCAATCTTAAAAAGAAAAAAGCTTCAAATTAGGAAATAATTATTTTAATATATTATTAAATATATGACAGTGGATATAATGTAATAATATATTATATTGGCATATAGTACCCTGTCATAAGTTTATCCTGAAGGGTATTAAACAGGCATTCTGTAAGATCCAATACCAAGTACTCATAAAGTGACTTAGAAACATAGGAATTGAGAGATAATTCCTTAACTTAATAAATAACATCGGTGCAAGCCAATAGTCACCAACATTCTTAACGGTGAAATACTACAGACCTTCTCACTAAAGTCAAGAGCAAGACAAAGATGCCCACATAACCAGTATTACTGAACACAGTCTAGAAGTGCGTAGTAACACAATTGATGGAAAAAAGCAAGGTATACTTACCACAAGAGAAAAGACATTTTTCTTATTATTTCCAAATCTTACAAATCCCAGGAAAATTGCTGGGGAAAACTAGAATTAATTTTATATTAATTAGTCCGATAGCAAATAAACATTTAGAATTAACATTCTAAAATATAAGATATTTAGCAATAAGCAACTAGAAAACATGATAGGAAAACAAACCATTTGTACCAGTAAATGTCTTAGAAGCGTCCATAAAATATCTTAGAAAAATTTTGAAAATATGTGGAATTTATAAGAGAGGAAAAAATTCAAAAAACCAAAACCCTGAATATAAGTCTTAGAAAAACTGAGATTTAAAGCATGCATCCATCTGGGTGCGGTGGCTCACACCTGTAATCCCAGCACTTTGGGACCCCAAGGGGGATGGATCACTTGAGGCTAGGAGTTTGAGACCAGCTTGGTTAAGATGTTGAAACACTGTTTCTACTAAAGATACAAAAATTATAGGCATGGTGGAGCACACCTTAAGTTCCAGCTGCTTGAGAAGCTCAGGCATGAGAGTCACTTGAACACAGGAGGCAGAGGTTACCGTGAGCTGAGATCACACCACTGCATTCCAGCCTAGGTGACAGAGCGAGACTCTGTCACTCTAAAACAATGCAATTAAATAATGGATAGAGGCATAACAGTTTTTAAAAGCAAGGCTGATGAGCACCAAGCTGACAAAAAGCATGTTGATTCACCATGAATTCAAGAAATGTAGATGAAAATTTAAGGGACATTTTCTTCTCTCAAATGGCAATGTCTAATCAGAAATACTTGTTATCAGGAGGTTTTGGCAGAAATGCTCATATACACTATTGGAGAGAGCGTAGACTGATATAGCCTCACTAAAGACAGGGGCTTAGCTTTTAAGATACGTTTCTTTAATTCAACCTTACTTCCAGATTTTAATACTTCAGGACATGTAAAAACACTGATGTACAAGAATATTCATTAAAATATTAATCATAATAATGAAAAATTAGGAAATTGTGTTCATCAATAGGAAAATAGTTAGTCATAGTGTATATGTATTATGGAGTACTAAGCAGCCGTGACAGTCTATTTTGGAAGACAAATCATGCGGGCCCAAATTCCCAATCCACAGTAATTACAAAATAGTAGGCAATAAGACCTCATTTCAAAAATTGCATATTTTCACAGAGAAGGTAAGGAATGAGATACATAGAGTTACGAATGGTGGTTTTCTCTGGGTGGTGAGTTTAGGGCAATTTTCCTTTTTCTTTTTGCATTGCTATATTTACAATTTTAATTCAATAGCCATTTATTAATCTAGATGGATCAGAAAAAAATCCGTTAATGTTATGGTTAAAAATACATGCTTTGCAGGATCCCAGATACAATTGATCTGTAATGTCACTGGCCAGTTGAGTGACGTTGCTTACTGGAAGTGGAATGGGTCATTAATTGATGAAGATGACCCAGTGCTGTGGGAAGACTACTACAGGTATGTATGCTAAGAGTCATTCACAGTTTGATATTAAATCCTACGTGGTATTTTATATAACGTTGTTGGTTTAATGTAAAAGCAAGTGTTAGTTGGCTGATTGGTCGTAACCCTTGCTGTCCAGTTTTTTTTTTTTTTTTTTTTTTTTTTTTTTTTTTTTTNTTTTGGCTAAACTAAGCAGGATTTATAAGATCTTGAACATTTAAGGTAAAAAATACATGCCACTGTGATGCAAATTCCAGACCACTCAGAAGCCTTTCTCTTAAATTGTACATGTTGCATCATTTCAACGAAGCAATTATCTTTCGTTATTATTTATGTTCCTTAAGTAGTTTAGAAGCCACTCATTAAATGGGCTCAAGAATCAGGCAATCCACTGCTGGGTTCCTACTACTCATCTATGGGACAAGGATCTACTGGCTTCCCCTGACCTCTCCCTCACGTCACCTGCAAAGCACTTTGTCATCTGCCCCAATCTCCTCTTGTTTAATATATTTTTCTCACTGCCCCATAGAGACCACAATGCATTTTTCTTTTTGGAAGTGGTAGTGTTTTGCTTTCTCTGCTACTGAGTCTGTTACTGACAGCGGTCTTGAGGTTGTAAAATCTCAGATTAGCGTTGCCAACAGTCTGATTGTTTTGACTGTGATTGGGCAAGATGATTATTTCAGCTGCAGTTTATGTCACAAATAAGGAAATATACAGGGTATACATGTCTTATTTGTAGTTGATGCAATTTACTTACACAAATTTATTTGCTCTCTCTCTCTCTCTAACAGTGTGGAAAATCCTGCAAACAAAAAAAAGAGTACCCTCATCACAGTGCTCAATATATCAGAAATCGAAAGTAGATTTTATGAACATCCATTTACCTGTTTTGCCAAGAATACACATGGTGTAGATGCAGCATATATTCAGTTAATATATCCAGGTAAACAACAAGCTAATTGAAATGCAATTTTGTTTTACTGTGGTAAGATTCCATGACCTTGACGTTTGCATTGCCATTTCCTCTGCTTAGAACACTCTTCACTCCCTCTTTACCTGGATAACGTCTATTCCTCTTTTACTACTCTGCTGAACTCTCTCTTCTAGGAAGCTTTTTTGTCCTGCTGCCTGCCCTTAACCCAACTCTTGGCCCAAAGAGAGGACAATAGGGCCTCTATATGTACTTCTGTAGCACCAAATGTCACAGGATCTATTGTACTTAGTTTTCTATCCTTAACTGTAAGTTCTGTGATGGTGGCAAGCATTTATCTTAGTAATCATTCTATTTCCACAGCTAATGGCAAGTGAGGTCTGGTACATTGTGGATATTTAATGAAAAAAAAATATATATATATATATTTATGTACAAGTATTTGTTAATTAAAATTTATTTTTCTCCTCCTCCATCAATTAAAATTTATATATATATTTTATGATTTAAAAATATATTATATATATATGTATATATAATATTACATTTTAGGTTCTGGGGTACATGTAAAGAATATGCAGGAGTGTTGCATAGGTACATATATGGAAATGTGGTTTGCTGCTTCCATCCTCCATCCCCTATATCTGGCACTTAATGAGTATTTTTAAGTAAATGATTACATTGATGGATGCATAGGGTAAGACTATCCACTTTCAAAGAGGATATCAGATGTCACTGGGTTTCATGAATTGGTATAATAAAACATAATGCTGAAAGTATTTGTGAAACATTTTAAGGTAATTTTTGGTTTAATTAAAAATAGGATATTATAATTGCATATATGAAAGAATATCTGAAAGACCCTATAAATTAACTTCTATGTATGTTTAAATACCAGCAGCATACAAATAGAAATTACGTTTAAAAGATAACATTTACAGTAGCATAAAAAAATCATCAAATTCTTAAGAATAAGTCCAGCAAAATCTGTTCAAGACTTCTCTAATACAAACAAAAAAATATTGAGATAAATTAGAGAAGAACTAAATGGAGGGATATACAATGTTCATAGATTGAAAGACTCAATATTATGAAGATGTCAGTTCTCTCCCAAATGAATCTGCATTCAAAACAATTTCAATCAAAGTCTCAGCATATTTGTGCAAGTGAGCATTGGTGTTTGTATGGGTGTGTTTTTGTGGACACCTGTGAAAGTCATAGGGAATCGTAAAGGACCAAAAATAGTCATGGTGGTCTTAAATAAGAAAAATACATTTAGAGGATTAATACTACACATGATCTTGTATGAAGCTACAGTACTTAAGACTGTAAATGTGAACTATCAATTGGGCCAGCTGGATATTTGTCTGGAAAATGGTATAACTTGATTTCTGTTTTGTATCCAAATCATCTAAATTGGAAAAGTAAATAAAGCTTTTAGATCCTCTTTTCTGGGTGCTTACATGGTTCCTGATATTTAGAAGGTACTTTCTTTTTCTTCCTCTTTCTTATTCTCTAGCCTCCTCCACATCACCGGCTCTATCTGCTCCCTGACCTCCTCTGAAATTATTGGACAACTAAGTAGAGAAGGAGGCCAGGATAATGTGGAAATGTGAAACTTCCCTAAGCCTCTAACTTTTTCCCTTTCCACCAGTCTTTGGCTTTACCCAATGGACTCTCTTACCTCTGGGAACTTTTGTAGGGTTTCGAGTGATTTTGACTTTTCCCTGTTTTACTGTGGAATGCTCTGTCTTGTGGTCTTTGATATTTTTTTTTTCCATGTTATTGTATATTATGCTATTTAGGTAGAAACTTCATAAAATGCACCTTGGTTTTATATAATTCATACTAGATTGCTTTGTACATTAGTATCCATTACAAAGTGATAATAATGAAAGAGTTAATACTGTCTGAATGTAGGCCAGTCCCAAATATGGTCTCTCTGAAATGCAGATATTTAATTTACTGTGCCCAAATTTTTAATTCTTTTTGGTGCTAATATTTTTTCTCTTCTTTTTTTTTCTGTAGTCCCTAATTTCCAGAAGCACATGATTGGTATATGTGTCACGTTGACAGTCATAATTATGTGTTCCGTTTTCATCTATAAAATCTTCAAGATTGATATTGTGCTTTGGTACAGGGATTCCTGCTATGTTTTTCTTCCAGTAAAAGGTATAATTTTATATTCCATGCAGTATTTCTTGTTGGAGACAGGGGATAGTTAGGAGATATAGAAGAGGGCTAAGAGGGTTTTCACTTAAGTTCTAAAATGGAAGGTGGCATACACGAGAATAGTAGTCTTACACAGAATTATAGTTGTATAACTCATTAGGCTGAATATCCTTGTTTTCTAAGTTCCTTTCTCAGCATTCATATTGGTAGAACAAAAAGGTATTTAAAGCATCTGTTTATAAATTCAGTTATGCAGAAGCCATTGGGAGACCTTGCTCTGTGATGAGTAGAACAGACATAGATGATATACCTTAATGCAAGAAATGAAATGACTAGATCTTCATACATCAGGGAGGCATTCTCTCTCTCTCTTTTTTTAAACTTCACACACACACAAAAGGAATAGCAAAATATCTAAAAAAAAAAAAAATGAATGGATAGAATTCAGGGCTGAGACCTTTGAGGGAAACGATGAGAACAGGGAGATTTTAAGGATGGCTCCATACGAAGAGGATGTGAGGCAGCCACCAAATAGAAGAACAAATTTGCAGTAAAACACAAGAAATAGAAACCTAATGAGAGATGAACACTTTTAAAAGGGATTATATTTTTGGTATTGCTGCTTCAACCATGCCATTGTATAAAAAAAGATTAATAGTTCATGATGTAATGAATGTTTGTGATATTGACTTTATCAAATCTCTTATATTTGCCTTGTGATTCTAAATACATTATGTTTTTCCTTTAGCTTCAGATGGAAAGACCTATGATGCATATATACTTTATCCAAAGACCACTGGAGAAGGGTCTACCTCTGACTGTGATATTTTTGTGTTTAAAGTCTTGCCTGAGGTCTTGGAAAAACAGTGTGGATATAAGCTGTTCATTTATGGAAGGGATGACTATGTTGGGGAAGGTATGTATGTAATGGAACAAAGTAAAGGCTTATTGTTGTAAAATTACTTGCTAAAATCTGGCTTCCATCTTTCTAGAAGATTGTGGCATAGGTGTATATGTTTCACAATTCTAAGAACCTTTTCAGAGGTGTATGATGATTTTTACATTTATTAAATGCAAAATATTTACTTCTCTCATATTTTTTCAGAGCAATAATTTAGTGATTTTCAGTTAGTTTTGAAAAACTTAATGGCTAGTTAAATCCAATAGTTGCTTTACAACTGATACAACAAAACAGAAGTGGGAGAGATCAAATGACTTAATAATAAGTTTCTAAAATTCCAACGAAGATTTCTAGTTCTAAATGAAATATTTGTCTTTTGAGGGCCAATTTTTAAGTGAGTCGATAAAATGGGAAGTTCGCAGTGGCTCGTGCCTGTTATCTCAGGACTTTGGGAGGCCAGGGTGGAAGGATCACCTGAGCCTAGGAATTTGAGGCTGCAGTGATCGAAGATCATGCCACTGTACTCCAGTGCGAACACAAAACAAGACCCTGTCTCTAAAAATAAATGAATGAATAAATAAATAAACTCCTTTAATTTTAAGTAAGGCAAGAAAAAGGTGTTAGGAGCCATAGGGTTGGGAAAAGCCATAGGGTTGTGTAGCTTTGGTTCAGAAGAGAATGATGATAAATAGAATTTTACTTACTGCATTGTGCTTCCTGTTTTTCAGACATTGTTGAGGTCATTAATGAAAACATAAAGAAAAGCAGAAGACTGATTATCATTTTAGTCAGAGAAGTATCAGGCTTCAGCTGGCTGGATGGTTCATCTGAAGAGCAAATAGCCATGTATAATGCTCTTGTTCAGGATGGAATTAAAGTTGTCCTGCTTGAGCTGGAGAAAATCCAAGACTATGAGAAAATGCCAGAATCTATTAAATTCATTAAACAGAAACATGGGGCTATCCAATGGTCAGGGGACTTTACACAGGGACCACAGTCTGCAAAGACAAGGTTCTGGAAGAACGTCAGATACCACATGCCAGTCCAGCGACGGTCGCCTTTATCTAAACACCAGTTACTGTCACCCGCTACTAAGGAGAAACTTCAGAGGGAGGCTCACATGCCTCTTGGGTAGCATGGAGAAGTTGCCGAGAGTTCTTTGGGTGCCTCCTGTCTTACGGCGCTGCAGGCCAGGCTGTGCCTCATACTGACTTGTAGAGTTTATGGAATGTAACTGTATCTTCCTTTATCTCTGAGGTCACCTTTAATCAGATTGTTAAGGGAATAAGCCATGGCGTCAATAGCAGGCCAGGGCACTTTGAAGTAGAGGGCTTGGGAAGATCTTTTAAAAAGGTAGTAGGCCGGGCATGGTGGCTCACGCCTGTAATCCCAACACTTTGGGAGGCTGAGGTGGATGGAGCACCTGAGGTCAGGAGTTCAAGACCAGCCCGGCTAACATGGCAAAACTCCGTCTCTACTAAAAATACAAAAATTAGCTGGGCATGGTGGTGCACGCATGTAATCCCAGCTACACGGGAGGCAGAGGCAGGAAAATTGCTTGAAACCAAGAGATGGAGGTTGCAGTGAGCCGAGTTCATGCCACTGCACTCCAGCCTGGGCAACAGAGCAAGACGCTGTCCTCCCACCCCCACAAAAAAGCAGTAAATGCCTTTTCTGAATGTTTGAACTGCCAAGAAAAGGGATGGAGACAGCAAACTAGAGGAAAGAGCATGCAGGAAATGGTCGCCATCTATAGATGACTTTGTTAAGTCATCCACAGCCCAAGGGTGGGGCTATGCCTTGTCTGGGGACCCTGTAGAGTCACTGGCCCTGGAGTGGCTCTCCTGAGTGGCACAGCAGGCACAGTGAGATTGACACCTCACTGAGGAAGGGAGACATATTCTTGGAGAATGTTCCATTTGCTTGTATTTTCCACACACATCTCCAGCCAGAAGTTGGTTTCCAAAGACCAAATTTTACAGATCTTGAAAACTGTCACTTCAGTCAAAAAAGGGATTCTCCAGTATTCCAAGGTTTTGAAGTCATCTTCGCTTTCCGCAGAAGACAGAAAACTTTAAAAAGCAACAGTAGCAGGGAACTGATCCACTTCTTAATGCTTTCCTCCCTGGCATGACCATCCTGTCCTTCGTTATTATTCTACATTTTACGTCTTTGGATGGACAGCTCCCTGGTGGCTTCCTTTCTCTGCATTGTCCCTGGCACAGCTCATGCATGAACCATCCTTCCTGGGATGCTGCTCTTCTGTCATCCCGCTCCTGCTGAAACACCTCCCGGTGGCTCCACCTGTTCAGGAGTTGAAGCCCATGTTCTCCCACCAGCTTGTCGCTCCCTGCTGTGTTTGCCAGCCTCCCCTCGCTGTCCCGCTGTGTGAATTCCCAGGTTGGCTTCGTGGTCGTGGCACCTGCCCCCAGCACTCTTCTGTCTTTGCCCTTGCCTGGCCCCTTCCTCCTCCTCTGCCTAGAAGGACTTCTCGCATTTTCTCCAGCTGATCAGAATTTTACTGAAATTCAGAACATCCTCCAATTCCACAGTTCCCAGGAGACTTTCCCTAAGAGGCAACTTTCTCTCCAGCCCTCTCTTTCCAGTCAGGTCCATGGCAGTGATGGCTGTGAGTGTGTCATGGAGGCTGGTCTCTCTCCAGCTGGAATCGCTGCACTCTGTAGGAGAGGCTGTGGGTGGCTGTCTCTGTCCCCCACTGCCTTCCAGGAGCAATTTGCACAAGTAACATAGATTTATATAGTGCTTTATTGTTAAAAAAAATTCCCCAATTATCTTATTTAATTTTTGCAATTATTCTAATTTTATATATAGAGAAAGTGACCTTTTTTTTTTTTTTTTTTTTTTTTTTTTTTAAATCACACTCTAAGTTCCATTGAACCCAGGACTTGAGCCTCCATTTCTGGCTTTTAGTCTGGTGTTCTAAGTACTTGACTTCAGGTCAGTAACTGTCCCCCTCACTCTACACTGGCACTTTTGTGAGAGGAAATGACATTTTGCTAGGAAGTGACCCAGTGTAGGAATGCTTTTATTTAAGACACCAGATTCCAAACTTCTGAATGGTGACATTTTCAAAAATTATGTTTAGATTTTATGAAAAAATTCTTCTACTTTCATATATTCTTTCCCTAAAGGCAAACATTTCTTAGTCCATTGAAAATGAAGGCACTTTTTTTCGATTATATATATATATATATATATATATATATATATATATATTAAATGGGATGACAGGTCTCAAAAGAATTGGAGAAACCCTGGAAAACCACAAAGCCAAATTTGTATGCCACTGATTGTAGGGCACAAGCACAGTTTTACAAGTTGTATGAACATGGACAGGCCTTCTGGTGTTTATATTTCTGGTATTTAATATGAGTGAACACAAATTTTATTTGGAATAATAATTTTCCTCCTAAACAAAAATACATTGAGTTTAAGTCTCTGACTCTTGCCTTTCTACTTGCTTTCTCTTGGGTGCTTCTCTGTCAGCTTGAAGGAACAATGTTTTTCTGAAGCTGCTATTCCAACAGACAGAGCCTAGCTTTCATTTGGCACACAGACTATAGCCAGAAGCCCATGGAGCAGGGATGCCATGTCCCGAAAAGCTTATTAGATGCTTTACAAATTTAATTTTGCAGATTATTTTAGTCTGTCATATAAAAAATGTATCGGCATGCATAATGCCAAGAAAGCAAGCCAATTTAGAAACTTAGATTAGTGACAAAATTGGCCAGAGAGTGGGGGTGCTGAGGACCAAGAATTACAAGTAGCATGGCACCTGGAATTTAAGGAGAGAGAAGAATCAATGGGTAAAACTGGGTGGAGGAGGGGCCAAACAGAAAAGTGCCAAGTCATTCCCCATCTTCCAAGGGTTGGATTCTGGAGGAAGAAGCATCATTCGTAGTTCCCCCTGGACTTCTTTGACTTACTGTCCCCCACCAAAACCAAAACGAAACAAAAAGTCTTTAATGCCTTCCACATTAATTAGATTTTCTTGCATTTTATGGCAGTTTTTTAAGATAGCTTAAGTGTTAATTACCAGTTAAAACTGGTTTAGCACAATTTGTATTTTCCCTCTCTTGCCTTTCTATTTGCAACAAAACAAAAGGTATTGAGCCATGTTTTAAATGACATTTTTGATAAATTATATTTGTACTGGTTAATGATGAAGGAGTTTTTAAAAATCTGTTTATATAACTTTGCAGCAGAAGCCAATTTTTTAATATATTAAAACATCAAATTCATGTACAGCATGCATCATGGATCAATAGACTGTACTTGTTTTCCAATAAAATTTTCAAACTTTGTACTGAGTGTTTTCCTTGAAAATCTGTTACTTGTCTGGCTCACAGCTTACGTGCACATTCCCAGGCCTGAACAAGGTGAGGAGACCTTCTACAGAGAGTTCTTCTTGATGTGGGAAGGGGGTGGGGAGGGGCTGGAGGAGAGGAGGGGAGTGGAGGTCAGAGGCTATTGGCTTAATAGTGAGCCCTAACTCCTTTCTTGTAGCTAAACTCGACTTCATCTGCTCACTTGCTTCTAAAATGGATTAAAATGTGAGCTACCTCCTTGCTGGGCAGGGCATCTTTGAAAAAAGGCAGCAGCATGACAGAAACTTATAAATAAAGCCCCACCTTCCTGGGACAGAGCACCTGGGAAAAAAAGGCGGTTATGAGTTCTGCTGCAGCAGACTTAAACGTACCTGCCCAGCAGCTCTGAACGGAACAACGGAGCACACAGCTCAGCACTTGAGCTCTTATAAAGGACAGACTGTCTCCTCAAGTAGCTCCCCAACCCCTGTATATCCAAAGAGTCACCTCATAAAGGAGAGCTCTGGCTGACATCTGGCAGGTATCCTTCTGGGACAAAGCAGAAGAAGAAACTGTCAGCAACCCTTACTGTTCTGCAGCCACTGTAAGTGATCCTCAGGCAAGCAGGGTCTGGAGTGGACTGCCAGCAGTCCTATAGCAGAGGGGCCTGATTATTAGAAGGAAAACTAGGAAACAAAGAAATAACTTCATCATCAACAAACAGGATGTCCACTTAGAGACCCCATCTGAAAGTCACCAACTACAAAGACCACAGGGATATAAATCCACAAAGGTGGGAAGAAACCAGCGTAAAAAGGATGAAAACACCCAAAACCAGAATGCCTCTCCTCCTCCAAGGGATCACAACTCACCAGCAAGGGAACAAGACAGGATGAAGAATGAGTCTGATGAATTGACAGAAATAGGCTTCAGAAGGTGGGTAATAAGAAAATTCTCTGAGCTAAAAAAACATGTTCTAACCCAATGCAAAGAAACTAGGAACATTGAAAAAGGGTTTGATGAAATGCTAATGAGAATAAACAGCTTAGAGAGGAAAATAAATGAATTGATGGAGCTGAAAAACAACACTAGAACTTCATGAAGCACACACAAGTTTCAATAGCTGAACAGACCAAGCAGAAGAAAGGATATCATATATTGAAGATCAACTCAATGAAATAAAATGAGAAGGCAATATTAGAGAAAAAAGAATAAAAAGAAACAAACAAAGCCTCCAAGAAATATGGAATTATGTGAAAAGACCTAATCTATGTTTGATAGATGTACCTGAATGTGAAGAAGAGAATGAATCCAAGCTGGAAAACACTCTTCAGGATATTACCCAGGAAAACTTTCCCAACCTAGCAAGGCAGGCCAATATTCAAGTCCAGGAAATACAGAGAACACCACAAAGATATTCCTCAAGAAGAGCAACCCCAAGGCATATAATCGTCAGATTCACCAGGGTTGAAATGAAGGAAAAAATGCTAAGGGCAGCCAGAGAGAAAGGTTGGATTACCCACAAAGGGAAGTCCATCAGACTCACAGCAGTTCTTTCAGCAGAAACCCTACAAGCCAGAAGAAAGTGAGGACCAATATTCAACATCCTTAAAGAAAAGTAGTCTCAGCCTGGAATTTCATATCCAGCCAAACTAAGTTTCATAAGCAAAGGAGAAATAAAATCCTTTAAGAACAAGAAATTGCTCAGAGAGTTCATCATCACCAGGTCTGCTTTACAAGAGCTCCTGAAAGAAGCACTAAAAAACATAGGAAAAACCAGTACCAGCCACTTCAAAAACATACCAAATGGTAAAGACCATTGACACAATGAAGAAACTGCATCAACTAATGGGCAAAACAAATAGCTATCATCAAAATGGCAGGATCAAATTCACACATAACAATATTAACCTTAAATGTAAATGGGCTAAATGTCCCAATCAAAAGACACACACTGGCAAAAAAGTCAAAACCCATCAGTGTGCTGTATCCAGGAAACCCAACTCGCATGTAAGGATACACAAAGGCTCAAAATGAAGGGATGGAGGATGATTTACCAAGCATATGGAGAGCAAAATAAAGCAGGAGTTGCAATCCTAGTCTCTGATAAAATAGACTTTAAACCAACAAAGATCAAAAGAGACAAAGAAGGACATTACATAATGGTAAAAGGACCAATGCAACAAGAAGAGCTAACGATCCTAAATATATACGCACCCAATACAGGAGCATCCAGATACATAAGGCAAGTTCTTAATGACTTACAAAGAGACTTAGACTCCCATACAATAATAGTGGGAGACTTTAGCTCTCCACTGTCAATATTAGACAGATCAATGAGATAGAAAATTAACAAGGATATCCAGGACTTGAACTCAGACCTGGACCAAGCAAACCAAATAGACATTTACAGAACTCTCTACCCCAACTCCACAGAATGTACATTCTTCTCAGCACCACACCACACCTACTCTAAAATTGACCACATAATTGGAAGCAAATCACTCCTCAGCAAATGCAAAAGAATGGAAATCATAACAAACAGTCTCTCAGACCACAGTGCAATCAAGTTAGAACTCGGAACTGAGAAACTAACTCAGAACCACACAACTTCATGGAAACTTAACAACTGGCTCTTGAATGTTGACTGGATAAACAAAGAAATGAAGGCAGAAATAAAGATGTTCTTGGAAACCAACGAGAACAAAGACACAAGATACCAGAATCTCTGGGACACATTTAAAGCAGTGTCTAGAGGAAAATATATAGTAATAAATGCCCACATGAAAAGCAAGGAAAGATCTAAAATCAACACCCTATTGTCAAAAATGAAAGAGTTAGAGGAGCAAGATAAAAAAAAAAACTCAAAACCTAGCAGAAGACAAGAAATAACTAAGATCAGAGCAGAACTGAAGGAGATAGAGACACAAAAAGCCCTTCAAAAAATCAATAAATCCAGAAGCTGGTTTTTCGAAAAGATCAACAAAATAGACAGGCAACTAGCCAGATTAATGAAAAAGAAAAGAGAGAATAACCAAATTGATGCAATAAAAAATGATAAAGGGGATGTCACCACAGAT